AAAAAAACAAAGTATACTGCCACTTTTCCCCCTTACCTTCCTTCTCCATTTTCTACCTCTAGTTCTAATACTGTCTGGAGATGCTGGCACAGCAATGATGTGAATTGAACTGACACGCTGCATATACCCAAAGGAGGTATTTCTCCAGCAGACGGTTGAATGGTAAAGGGAGATACCTATGAGAAGAAACAAAAATTTCTTTGATGTCTGCAAAGCAAGTGTAAAACGCTGAAGCCACACAATCTAATTAGGACTTGCATGTGTCTAGTTTTTCCTCAGATGTGTCCTTTCTCTCTGCCCCTACAGTCCCACCTGGGTTCATTTCAGTAAGCTCAGTGCTAGCTTTTTGAAAATCTGGCTAGACAAGGAGGCAGGACTTTGCTTCTGTGGGGACAGCTCATAAAAAGAAAGAGAGAAGGCTAGTCAGAGCCAAGGGCATAACAGGGATGCATGTGCATGAAGGGAGGGGGAATGAGAAAGAGAAGCAGGCAGCAGCAGCACCCGTGTCTCCTCCCAAGCAGAGGGCTAAGTAGCAGGTATGCAAGGTGCCACAAGTTGGGGAGATTGTTGGACAGAAGGTCAAGGAATGATGACTGGAGGAGCGGGAACAGAAAGAGCACCAGTGTGGGGTGGGGGCTGGAGAGGTTCAGGAAAGGAAAGGGGTAGCTCTCATGCAGGAGGAATGGAGGACTTGATCTATAGTCTTCACTGAGATATTCATGCAGGAGGAATGGAGGACTTGATCTACAATCTTCACTGAGATACGAACGGGCTCTGGGATGACAAATTCAAGAGATTAAGTCTGAAAATCTCTCTGGGGTTCAGGGAATTGTTGGGAATGGCAGGGGACAAAGGAATAACAGTGAGAAGTAAGGATTTGAGGATTGTGAGGACAGGGTCTTCTCCAGGGCACCCCTGTCCCTAATCAGGCACTTCTGATTGTAATTGTTCTGGGAGAAAAGGGATAGACACACACACACAACTGTTTTGCCAGGCGTTGCCATTCTTTTTGCCATTAACTTTCACCCAAAGTTGGTGAGATATCTACATGATACACAGAAAAGAAAACAAAGCTCAAGAACTCATGAGGATAAAGTACAACTTCTTGCAGGCTTCCATCTCCTGAGGGTCAATAGAAAGTTCCTGCTTAACAAGCTCCTCTCTCTGTTGCAAAACTGACAGTCTGTCCAGAAAAACAGAACATCTGAACAGCGTTTAGACCAATTTTGCCATGAAACAAGTGAACTCAATTCCTTGCGTGGGTAATTACGTAGAGAGCCCTACAGGCAGAATTTGGCCTTTCATTACAACTAAAAGTACTTACCCCAGAGTCTGGATTTCCTCACTTCCCTTTAACACATAACACTAAGGAGAAATCTAGCTACAAAGCCCACTGTATGCCACAAATAATCAAAATAAGTATTTTGCCTTTTTTTTTTTAAATTTACTTTATGAATATGTGATGGCCTGCAGATAGCAGCTCTCACTCAATTCTTTGCCACCAGTATTACCTCTAAGCTGCTTTAGTTATTTCATATGAAATGGTAGAATGAGCTCTGAAGTCAAAGGCTGGAATGGACTGCATTTGACACATCACAGTTTAGATAATACTAAACAATAGTTTTAGTATTCATTGTGGTAAGAAGTTATTTTGGGATACACCTGTGTGTTTCAAAGCTATTGTTTAAAGCCAAAAGGACCAATTCAGTAGGTGCTGATATTCTTGTCTGACATGCTGATGTGGGTGTGCAGGAAAAACGTTCAGCAACCTTGGTTCTGATAAGGTCTTACCCTTTTCTTTGTATCAGCAGCAGCTGAAATCACTGTCATACAGGAAATACTACATGTCTCTTTGGATCAGGCTGGCAGGGGATTTGTAATAAATGGAAGTAGAGAAAAATTGCAAAGGAGCATTAAATCTCAAAAGAACTTGTGCACTTATGGAACTGTGCAGAACCAGTTTCATAAGAAGTCATAGAAATTGGAATTTTTGATATCTAGAATGAATATTACAACTCCTAAGCGTAAGGAAGAAATAGCTAAAGAGGGAGCACAGCCAGCTACAGCAGTGACTTACCTCTTCATTCCTTTCAGCTAGACAGTCTTGGCTTTCTTGCATTCTCCATTGTGCTGGCAGCTGACACAGATTTTTAATCTCAAAGGTTCTTACCACACTCTCACCCTGCTTAGTCAAACCTAACCAGAGTGATGGAACATCAATACAAAGAAGTGGACCCTAGGACACCAGGAAACAGATGTCAGAATGGACACTTCTGCCAAAACTGCCTAATTAAGAAGCATACATTATCTAAGATGAACATTCAATTTCACAAACAATAGCAGAAAGCAAACACATTGTGTGTAATGCAGAAAAATTCTTATCGTCCTGGGAGTATCAACATTGCCTCAATAGTTACTAGACAGCAAGAATACCTCTTGTTTGCAACTGCTTTAGATTTGTTATACCTTTAAGAGGCAAAAACCTTTATATGGACAATGGCCAGGCCCCACAGCTAGTCATCCCACAACGCTGAACTGCTCCTTACCTTAAAAGCAGCCTCAACATGCAGCACAACTGGCTCTGGACAGTGTTCAATTTTACACTGCAGATTACAGCTGACGCGCCCAGGTTTGCTTCCAGTAATTGCCAGTTCAAATTCACAGCATTTATTCATATCTAGAAAAGAAAAATTCAGGGTCCTGTCTTACCCTTTTGCAAAGAAACCACCTGCTGCAAGCCTGTTATTGAAGCTCCTGGAACCAAATTAAGTCTCCTTGTGGCCCTAAAGGGCTGGGGATCAGGTCTTGTTTTGCAGCTTGAATTACATTGCTCTGTGAGTTTTCTCTTCCACTCATACCCATTTAAATATTTCTGTCATTAACTGATGCTTGCAAGTCACAGAAACTTTACCTATGATGCCAGTATGAGGTTCAACTTCCATGATCTCACAGGACATGATTTTCTCCCATGTGTACTTGATCAGTGATTTGCTGTTATTCCACATCTAAAACAATTAAAATCAACGAGATAATTAATGCACTTTAGAAGCTCATAGCAACAAGCTGAGAGCACTGATGCACTGCAAACTAGGTATCACAAGTCTTACATCACATACTTGGCAAACTTCAACCATATCCTGATCACCAGTAAACATTACAACCTACTAATATACCTTGAATCTAGCTACAGCATACTATATCTTCACCTGAATCTTGAAATAAACTGAGCACGATAAGAGTGGAAAGGCACAGAACTTCATCAAACCTCTGACCTGAACAGTACTAACCCAGTGCCATGCACTAACTACTGTTGTTTTCATGATAACGCTCTATCCTCCCTTTCCTTTTTCCCTCCATGACACAAAACAAGGACAAGAAGTGGGATCCACCTGACTGGATTTCAGGTGTCTGCAAGATAGATGCAAGAGCTATATCTAACCTCATCTCCTAGGATTCTCTTTACTGAAAATAAAAGCAACTAGAGAGTGCCGAGAGCAATTTCTCTGACCTATTTTAGCCTAAAGGATGAGATTAATCACCCCCAGGATGCTGCCAACAAGATCCATAAGGAAAGCTTAGTGCAGGTAGCTTGGATGTGGAGATCTATGCTGAAAGCACTATTTTTAGTCAAATTATATAAGCACTATATTTAATACAGTGGCTATCTTCACACAGGTGAAAGTGTTTTCTGAAACTTGAAGAAAATCCTTTAACCATTCTTTCCAAGAATATTATCACATTTGAAGCCTTTTAAACTTTCCCCCATTTTTCAAAAGTATAACAGACCTTCTAAATTTAAACTTCAAATCTTTCTTTTGAGAGCAGCCTTTTTTTGCCAAAGGATCTGTTTGTGAAGGAGCTGTAAGCTCTTGAAATCTTTGGCCTGCTCTTCAGATCTATTCAGACATTATTTCTTAATTACAGCAAATAACTTTGTTCTCTGAAGCACAATTATCTCTAAGCACAGTTCAAATTCTTATCTTTTTAAGACTAAAAAACCAATTGGAAACTGTGAGGAATGTCATTATATTATCAGTAAGTGACTTAATTACCACACATGTCGCTATACTGGATTACTGGAAGTATGAAATGGCTGTCTTAAATTGAAAAAAAACTTCTAGGAAGAGAAAGAATAAAACTAAATGCTGATTAGCAGTACCTTTAATTAAAAATGGGAAGACCATTAACTGGGAAATGTCTTCCTGCCTGGCTCTTGCTAAAAGGCCTATTTTTCCCAAGTGAGTCTAAGATCAAAAGGATCCTGATCTATAGTGAGTGGACAATTGCAGCAGCAGTCTGTCCAATAATGGTCAAACAGAAATTACCAGAACCTGCAGGAAAGAATAAGGTCTAGTAAGCTGCAGCATATGCGATTACTGTAGCTCTTCTGTGCTTGCTGTAGACCTTTGTGTGAACAGTACCTCTGTTATGAAGTAATTTAATGACCCATTGGCTATTCTTCCCAATTGGGAAACTTTTACACTACAGGAGTGACAAAGTGATCAGCAACAGATTAGTGACCCAGAAAAACATTTAGAAGGATAAAACTCTGTGGTATCAAGCTTGAGAGATGGAAAAAGAACAAAATCTGCTGCCTGGAGTATAGGCCTAAGGAGGCTTGCTTGGGGATTTCAGTACAGACCCTCCTGGAGTCACAGCCTCCTTTAAAAATATTTAAGAAAAACTAAAATAACATGGATTGTCTGGTATCTTCTAATAAAACCTATGACATCTAGTGACACAAAGCACATGATAACAATGAAGTCAAAAGCAAACAAACCTTAAATGTTTTCCTGACATTTACACCAATAAAGTTTTCTCCAGGGACAATAATGGCATATGGTTCCAGAAGAAGATGAAATGGTTCTGTTGATCCTTTAACTTCTATTTCCAGTGCTATTACATCCTCTTTTCTGTACTCTGGAATGTTTTGAAGCATCCCTTCTTTTACTAAACTTTGGGAGGAAATATGGTAGAATTATTAAGCATCTTAAACTGGTGTTCAAACTGGATCCCATCTTTTAATTGCCAGATCAAAACTGAAAATCATCAAAAGTTTCTGAAGCACAGACTGCCTGTGTGCAGTTAGCTCAGGCCAGGGACTATTAACAACTGGAAAAATTGCAGTAGTTCTTTAATGTACTCTAGTTGTCCCTGTCTATTCATGAACAAGTATGTAAGTCATAGACTGCTGTGACAAAGAGTAATTGCTGAACATCTCAGCAGAAAGCCTGGAAAATGAACAGATAAAATGACGGTATTATCTCTTTCCAAGAGAGGTGCAGACCTAGTTAGGGCTAAGGCATGTGTTCAGACATGAGGAAAGATCACAGAGACGCTTGTCATACCACAATTAGTTGTGCAGATAAAATCCTTTATCGTCGGCAGTCCATCATCACCAGAAAGATGAAGAATTCCAGTAACTTAATGTAATAGCATAGCTAAAATGTGGCTACGCATCTTACCAGGAAATACTGTTTCTCAGATTACAAGGTGATTCTGGGATGCCCCTCAGTACCATCTGAATCACACTGTGATAACTCTTCAGCTACAAGATGAAGGAGAGGATTTTAATGTCAAGTAATCAGTATGTTGAGGATTAAAAAGAGATGAAAAAGTAGTTTACATTTAAAGAATGAATGATCATCATTGGAGTACTAAGCTCTGATAAACAATATTCAAACTCTAGAGTTACTAAAAGAAAACATGTTTGACTGCAAAATATTAAGCCAGATTCTGATCTCATGCTGGATGGTTCCAAGAAAAATACTAATTTTTAACATGCCTGTTATTATTTCCCTAGTATATTGCATACTACACACAGGCATCTGCAAAGGCTCCCCAAATTAAGCTCAGTACTGCTGTACTAACTTAAAGTTTCTTCTAACTGCTCCAGGGTATTTAGCTTAATCGACCATCAATCTAATTTTGAGTAAGAAACACTACTTTTCCACCATGGGAAAAGAGGATGCCTTCTATATTCTAATGGGGGAAGAAAAAGGCAACACAGAAGCACGCCTTACATCTGAAGGGCTTTGCAAAAGATTCATTTGTTTGTAGAGAGATATTAATTTAAGTGTATATGTCAATTCAATATATTTTTGCATTAACTAATTAAAATATTTTAAAAACCCAGTTAGTTTCTCTTCCATACTTACTTGAGGTATATCTATGTCTGTTAATCACCACAGCATGGGATATTGCTACTCTTGGGCTTACTTTGGATCGAGTTTCTTTAAATACAGTGAGCTCATGCTCCTTATTCACACGGAGAGGGGAGCAGAAACTAAGACAACAGTCACTGGTACAGCTGCATTCAAACATCATTGCACTCCTCTTTACCCACAGCTGCAAACCGTCATTTCTCTGCCAAAGGCTACGACTATCCCCTTAATTTACCATACAGATGTTCATAGAACCCAGTTCAGCCCCAAAAAGCTACAGTTGGAAACAGTTTAAATAATCAGTGTTTGTAACCAGACTTACTTAGTCGGCAGTAGGTATGGGGCACATCCCCAAAGCAGCTCAGTCAGCAGAAGGGGAAGGGTCAGGAGATGGTAGAGGAGCTGGTAGTGTGGTGAGGGTGGTAACTTTACCAGCCAACACAGCTGCAGCTATGAGGATGTGTCTGTAGTTTCAGTGTAAAATTAATTGTGTCCAGTCAGTACCAAAAATGACATGAGATCACAAACTGCCTCGCATTTTGCAGTCAAAACATGTTTTCTTTTAGTAAATTTCTACGTTTTGAACACTGTTTATCAGAGCATAGTACTAGCTAATTAAATTTAATTTGAAAGCTGCACAGCAAGGATTTTATGACTTGCATAAAAATACACAGCTGGAGTTTGTAGATAGGAAGGAATCACAAGCCATACCTCCTGTGGAGTGTAAATGAGAATAAACTCATGATCCGTATGGGGAAGCAAAACTCCCTGCTCAGGATTTAGGGAGAAGGCTGACTCTGTGTCTTGACTGTATTTGACCTTCATAAAGTCTGAGGTTTCTTCTGGTATTAATGGTTTTAGATTAGGCTTCATTATCTGCCAGTAGAAAGGAAGTTCTACATGGCTGCAAAGAGATCAATGAACAAAAAAGGTATGATTAAAAAATTCAGATATTTTTGAGTAAAATATTGCGAGAAAATTTTCAGTTCCTTTTTCCACGTAGGGAATCCCTCTCTTTAAAAATTACAGGAGTTAGACTAACCAGTCTTTGTGAGCTACAAAGCTGATGAGGCAGCATAGAGACAGAGTACATAAATTATACAAAGAACATGCTAATATATGGAAGTAAATTATATAAACATGTAAGATGCGTTAAAACTTTCTTGCCTTATTTAACTTGTCACGTAATACAACTTTTAGGAAACTCTACAATTCTTCTTTCAAGAATCTGAGATCAACAGGATTTTTTTTATGTTTGCATTGGATCGGTGCTGATGATCTACATAACATTCTGAATTTAATCCAAGTGCAAGATGTGGTCTTTAACGTGTCAACAAACACAGTGGCTCCGGCTAAGATTATAGCAATGGCTCTGCAATACTCTTTGTAATCCAGAAAAGGTTCCTTAACTAGGTTGCTGCAGCAGAAGTGTATTCCATGGAACGTCTTCATGGATTTTAAAACCTTGCTCATGCTGACCTCAAAAACTTTGCCTTACTAAGGAGAGAAGGACACTGGAATTTGCAAGTGAGTACCAATGACAAAACTGAACATGTACAATTTCTTGTATCACTTTCTACAGCAGTAGAAAGTTTTCTCTTTCCTGCTTCTGTGGAGCTCAGTCTCAGCCTATCCAGCTTTGTTTCATACAAATGTTGACAGCAGACATGCAGGGACTGCTGTCATGATTATAGCATAAAGAAAAAGTGGAAATTGGCATAGTCACATCCTTCGCCAGTTTACATTATCCAGTTCACGGAATCACACTTTCTTCACCCAAACAGCATTCTGTTCTGGCATTATGCATGTGTGGTTTCCAGGCCACAAAACAAACTTTCAGAAATTCACTGTAGCAAGTAGCGATTTACATTAATGTACCTAAACCCAGCACTGATCGCCTCACTGCTTTGATAGTCTGCAGCCTCTAACAACTGCAGTCATGCACATTAGTGTACTTCTATTATTGCCTGACTGATTTCGAGCAAAATCAGGGTGCCGCTATGTTCAGTACAATGTAATTGTACACAGGGACATATTCCTTGACTTCAAATAGAGTTTATATTTAAATCTATTAGGACTCAATAGTAGGAATCCTGTGAAAGTTTTAATATGAGTTAGTTACACTGGGCTCCCGTTTTAATCGGTGGAGATCCAGTGGATTCCAGGATGTGTTATGTCTTGTTCTATGGGAGATGTCTACAGCCAGAATTGCATCCTTAGAAGCATCTATTTCCCTGCATTATGAAATGAAAAGAGTATAGGGTACTTAGCTCAGTTGCACAAGTATACACCACAAGTATATGCTGTAGACACGTAAAGTTAGATAAATCTCATCTGGATGACCCTGTTAAATATTTCCTGCAACCATCCACATTTATGAATCCTTTGGAGTTGTAGATTTATCTATACTGAAGCAAATATATTGACCTTGGCAGTGTATGTAACCAAATGGTATAGCTAATGGTTGCCATGATGTTTGATCTATGTATAATGTTCCTGCTCTTACATATCCTTGAACTTAAATTACTAAACAATGGAGCAGAAAGAAGCAAGGCTTCTGCCCAAAGTTTATCAAGTGCATGACTGTTTCTCCAGCTTGAGAGAGTATAGTATCACAAATGAGCTCCCTACCAGTATGTTGAGGCTGCAGAGCATTACTCTATTAATAGTAGCTACGTACGTAGAGTTTCTTATAACCAATTTCTTCTCTTCAGTGGTGTGTGGGTTTTGGGGGTCAAATCGTATGAGATGCTGTGCTGTTACATCAGTAACTTCACCAGGTTCAGGTTTGCTTTCTCCACCTGTGACGAACAAGAGCTCCAGAGCTATCAGCTGTCCAACCCCTTGAAGAAATAAGTAGGTATTACTGTTTACCATCTGGCTATTAACATTGTTCATATTACTCACTAACAGCAAATGCCAGCAATGGCCATTACTGATTACATCTGGTGTTTCCTCAAGTTTCAGAACTCCAATGTGTTAATTGTACAGTATTTTCCTGATACTCTTTATTTATCAACATACATCAATAGAGATTTTCCCTGCATGAATTTAACAGATTCGGATTTCAGGGCCACAACCTCAGCTCACTTTTACATCAGCACCGTTTCACTGAAGTGAGTGGGGTGTTGCAGTGGTTAATAATGTGGGTCCCAGATGTTTTGAGCAGTATATTAAATTAAAAGTAAGCAGGAAATGCACTATTAAAAATTTTCAAAAGGAAATACATGTAATAAAGTGATTAAATAGACTACAAGTCAAGCCTAATGGTATAGCACTTACAATTACATTACAGGACAAGCACTAACATTTACAAGAAATTCAACTCTTTTCATTAGCTAATCCAAAGACTGCCTATCTCTCCTGAATACCCTAATCCAAGTTGTGCCCCAAATTTGCGTCACATCCAAATATATTTCTGCCCTGTTAAAGCTGATGTTTTATAGTTTGTCATGTTATCTTACTGATACAAAAACCTAAGAAATGAATTGCACCTGACAACAAGTTTTCTTTTCTGCTACTTGGTGACATTTTACGTTTGGATTTTTGGCTACAGTGGGTTAAGAGCTCAGTGCTTTCTGAATCCCATGTACTTCATGCACTGGGATGGAGCAGTAATAACAATAATAATAATTATGATGATGATAAAAATGTTTAGCATTTAACACCATCAGGGGACAAAGTATTTGCTTAATCCAATAACACAAAATGTTACCATCACTTCAAGCCATCAACCACCACTCACATTATCTGAATATCTACAATGTTAGAAATGCAATTTCTGAAAGATGCTAGAAACAAACCTGTGACTGTAACATCATTGACTTGGTAATTGTCACAAACAACAGTGTATGTTAGGTCTGAGACTTCTGGAAAAGAAGGGAAAAATGCTACCTGAAAGAGAGAAGTGAAATAACAATGTCTGTAACTGATTTCTCTCCAGGAAGTAATAAACTTCAATTTGTAAATGTTCATTAAAGGACAGTTCTAGTGATTAGTAATTAAATCTTACATTTGCAAGAAACAAACAACATCACATTCCCTTAATAGAGACCAGAAACAGGTGTTTTCTGGGTCACTAAACGTACATGTGCGTATGTGGATGGTCACCAGAGGCTGCCTTTGTAGTCACTGGAGATGTGGGCAGGCTACTGGGTTAATTGTATGAATTGGACCCTCAGAATCGGACCTGCCCTCAGTCACTTACTGAGCAACGCCACCGCTGCTTTTCAAGCTACAACAGTGTGAGCAGGGCAGCTCCTGTGTGTCCTCCCTGAGTTCCACCTCAACAAAAATGGTTCAGGGGCCCAAACCTTTGGCTGTGTAATGTGCACCATGGTTCTTCTACCTGTTATCCACTACCACCTGCAAACCCAGCCTATCCTAAATCCATCTCCTCTTTCTCTCCCATGTGTGCCTGGCTCTGCTGAAGCAATGCACCTAGGAAGAGAGAAAGGAGGAGAAATGTTTCTCCTTTATCCACACCTGCCTGACCCATTCCCCTTACCAACAGTCAGGAGGAACTGGTAAAGGGAAGGCCTGGAGGCTAGCCATACTCTCCATATCAGTCCTCCTCTCTCCATAGCGATGCTATAATAAAACGTGGCCCACATCCAACAAGGCAGTGCTAGCAACCAGTAATGCACATCTACTGCAGGATCTTTTTCAGGAAAGAGCACAGTATAAATGAAGGATTTGTAATTGCTGCTCTACAATGAAAGAATTTTTTTCCCAAAATAAGCTTTTTTTCCAAGGAAGCTCAGAAAGGAAAAGTTTCTTGGACTCGATGCCCCAGCTGGAGTGAAATAAGCACTTCTGTATTCTCAGATTCCTGTTTTCTCTAACAGGATTCTTTGGGTGGGGAAAATCTGACTGGTCTCTGAGTGGCTAAGCAAGACTTTGAATTTGCAATGTGAGTAAGACTCACAATTGCCATTCTTCCAGCATAATTGCACAAAAGGATTTGAGCGTTTCTGCTCACATAAGCCCAAATTTGCAAGGTCCAGCCAAGATCTTCTAAAATGATCTTGCTTGGTAATGTATTTGGTAAAGTACAAATACTTTCTATAGCAGTTGGTACTAACCTCTACTGTTGTACTCTGCCCTGGAGCTAGCTCAAAAACAGCAGGATGGATCCCAAAAGGTTCTTGTATCACAAAACCAACAGTGGCAACAGTCTAAGGTGTTAAAAAAAAGCAGAAAAAAAAAAAAGAGAAAGATTAATAAATTAAACTGATCAGGTTGTTGTTTTTAAAATACAAGGTTACCTAAAACAGGCGCCATACTACATCATCACTGTTTTACCTTTCACTGTGATTTTTTTTCACATATCTCAAAAGTATGTGGCTTATGTATATGGCTTAATTAGAAGAAATACTCCAAGGCCTTATGACTTCTGTGCTAATATACCATGACTAGCTCAAAGGGCCTTCATGTCAGGGCATCTATACCATACCATGTCCAGTATTCCCCTTCTAATCACTCACCCTGAAATTAGGAGGTGGCCAGGCTTTCTTTGGCATTATAGAGAACTTCCCAGGGCTAATTCCCTCATTTTTGCACACAATCATTGTTACTTTTATTCCTCCAACAAGGCAGGAACCACAGTCTATAATGTGAGGCACTGCAACGAGTAACACAGAAAATTAGACTACACAGACAGTAACAGACAGCAAAGCCAGCTACTTCTTAAATAACTCTTTACAGACAATATTACTGCATTTGAATATGCTAGGTGCTGCAATCCTAAAAACCCTCAAATTCTTTCCATTCCATTGTTAAACAGTACGAGGTGTATATTTCTACATTAATCTTACATTTTAATGGTGCTTCCTACTTAAAGACTCTATTGAATGATGATAACAAAAAAAGATGATTTGTTTAAAAACTCGGTATAACAGGAAAGGTGAATTTACAAAAAATCAAAGCGAGTTTCTGCAAAAGTAATCCTGGTTGTTACAGCTGAGGCTAGGTATCTGAGAGGTGAATCCTGCAGATATGTCATATCCATATATAATTAATGTAACATTCCATGAATATTAATTAATAGCATCAAATATTTATAACTAAATCATAATTCCTTAATATTTAGGATTATTAATTACAATTAGGAGTTCAGGAATTAACAAGACACAAACGTAGAAAAGTGGCTCCTGCTCACTCCTCTAATACAGTGGAAAAAAAATGAGCTTGATGTGTTAAGAACAAATAATTAAGGAAAAAATTGACAGGATTACTTTTTAATAACTAAGAAATCTATTATGAGTGAAAATGAGATAGATATCAAAATGCAGAAACTGCATTGCCAACTCTGCCCACATTTGTTTTGTGACATAAAATTGGAGACAGTCAAATGAAAAAAAAAAACAAAACAAGTCCGTTTGACTTTAGAGAAACGTAAGAATTGGACACTACTGACATGTTAACACCGGAGGTGGTCTTTTAGCTTGGATCGGGATCAGAAGAGTTTCTGATACTTGAGTCCCCACTAATATACAATCTTCATAATCTTGTAGATATTCAGGAATAAATTGGACCGAATACTGGCATGTCATTCCAGGAGCAATCATTCCTCCCTTTCCTGGAAATTTTCCTTGGGAAAAAAAAAAATGCAGGGAATTAAAAAAATTTAAACTTCCCAAAGTTGGCATATGTATTTATGATCACATCTCCCTCTGGAAAGGTGCCTATAAACTCTCTCCACTTATTGCCTAAGTCAAGCTGATAAAAATGAATGACCACAAAAGGCCTGCCAGTGTAATCTGTGTATGTGCATATCTACCACCAAACTCCAAGATTTTTTGTCTGAAACATGCTTCTCATAACTACAGAAAACAGAGTGAGGAGAAACCTAGAGACATTACCCAGTTTTCCTCTACCACAAGACAACAAGGCTTACATGGGGGCTTCTAACTACTTCTAAATATTCTTCCAGTGTTGTGCCTGAGATACCACAATCTCCTTAGGCAATCTGTCCCAGTGCCTGGCTATCCTCCTGTAGGAAAGATGTTTTTCTTAACTTTCCTCTAACCTAATCTTCCTTGCTGCAACTGAAGTATGTTATTTCTTGCCCTCTCCCCCTAATGATTTCAGTAGAAACTACGTCTGTTCCTTGATGAATTTTGGATAAGACTCAACCTAGGTATTCCATGGATACATTTCAATGTACTTCAAACACTTTAATGTTAGTTAGTCTTCTTGAATTCCTCATTAGACCATTTGAATCTGCTTACGAGTTGCATGTGATTGTTTCTAGAGACATAGTCAACATTCAGTTTTTAAGGAACTGAGGACTATGGGTGGCAGAACCAAACAGAACATCTCTGAAAAATCTTTGTTCAAGCAGATAAATTAGATCTCTTCTGTATTGACATCTTAAAGGCAGTAAAAAGAACACTCACCTGGCCCAATGGCAAATGCTGAAGTAGAGGGGGGGATAAGTCTTACATATTGACATGTTGAAGTGATGTTCCGCAGCTCTACAGTCATCTTCATTTTAAAAGAAAATAACATACTCTGTTATATTTATCATCACTCATTATAATGTTTGCAGTCCCCTAGTACCCTGCTAGAAGTAACTAATTTATCATTGCAATCAACTTAAAAATCTCAGTTTATCCAATAAGGGCTGAATCAGATACTACCAAAACGAAGCAGAGACTGAAAAGGGTCTCTTTTAGTTTTCACTGGTTAGTGTGTCAGTGGCATATGTGAAAGAGTATCTTCAAGAAAGCTATAGGGTCGTTAATTCAATATAAATTCAGTATTTTGTTGAACTGCAGAAAGTCAAAAGATTGGGTGAAATATGCAGATCATGGCAGGACATAATGCTACTCAGTGGTAGAATTAACTCCCTACGAAGAAGTTCTCACCTCATAAACCTGGCCAACTTCATAATCAGAAAACAAAATAGTAGGTGGATTGGCAAGAAACACAGGAACAAATGAGGTATCACTGAAAGATAAAAAAAAGGAGATGTTACCTTACTGCCTAGTTCTTTAAATACTGATAAAATGAGAAATTGCAAAATATATCCTTTAGCAAAAAACAAACGTCATACAGACATACTTTGTTTCCTAAGAGACTATACAGACATTTAGCTCAAAATATCTACATGTAAATCCACAGTAATTCCATAGTGGAGCGCTCGGTGTGCTCCAGCTCAGAATCAAGAAACTGTATATGCTGCATACCCGTTATTATCTTCTGCTTTTCTTCTGGCTATGGTTTGTTCCACCTTTTCTTGAGAAATGACAAGAGATTTGCCTCCATGAAGAGTATTTGGTGGGAAAAAGCGGGGGTTCTTCAAGTAATTCTGCCTCTTTTCAAGTTTGGCAAGGTAAGCACACTGACTTTTTGCTTCTGCTTTGCATTTACTGTCTTTCCAGGCTAGCTTCTGTGAGGCATTAGTTTTCTTTAAAAAACAGAGATCATGATGCAAAATTAAACATGACAGTTTTGAGGATGATGAAAAAGGATCTGTACATGTCTAATTAAAGCTACACAATATTGAAAATTCATATAGAAATATTGTATTTCTCTTTTCTTAACAGATCAAATAAAATAAGTACTGGAGCCAGATCAACAATATATTGATATTCACGTTTTGTTACGGGAACAGCAATAGGCCCTACAGTTCTGACCGACTAAAACAAATAAATCTGTAAAATGTACCTGACTTGCCTTTTTAGTCTGGTGGCTAGACTCTGGAGTTGAAGGCAGAGTTAATGTGCCTAAGGACACATTTGGCAGACTACCAGATATTTTCTGTAGGTATGCAATCTCTGCAGGCATCTGGTCCTGCGAGCCTGAAGAAATATGCTGTCTAAAACTAAATGTATCTTTCATGTAGCCAGGTTCTGATTTTCCTGCAATTCAAAGAAAAATTTAATTCTATAAGAGAATTATAAGCATTTATTGTAAGCATAGGTGTATGAACTTATAATTTATTAATCTTGTCGATGGTAAAAATACACTTTAAAACCTCTAGAATTTAATTTACAATTATAACTTATTTTGCACAAAGGAAGCTTAGTGCTTTAATAAGAAAGCTTTTAGAAATGCTAATTAAACAAGCTATATATAAAAAAGTTGTATTACTCTCAGAAAGCTATGTTAGTCTTACAAGTGAGTGGGACTTAGAATGTCCTGTTCAGTTTACAAAAAGATCTATGTGAGGGATTCATGACAGTCAGAAAATTGACATAAAGAGGATGTACCATCTAGTCCCATGTTCCTATAGTTTGACAACAAAATTGCCACCTCAGAGGAAATTCTGAGATGTTAGATTTTTGGCTTTGTTTGGAATTACAATGGAAAAAAAAAAAAACAAATCTTGGAATTTGTAACTAAGTTGATTACTCTGAAATGTTTGCTTCGATTTGACTGAAAAATTTCATTTTAATGATACTAAAAACTTTCACCTTGGCTCACACATGAGTAAAAGAAGTAAAGAAGTCTTGACATTGCCCAAAAGGTTTTCCTTACTGATCTTCATTTGCAAATGAAACCGATATATTTCCAGAACTGGAAAATGTTAAACCCAAAATAAAGAATACAATTTTATTTCACTGAGAATAGTTTTTACTTTAATGTAACCAATTCCCTTCTCTGTATACAAGATGTAGCTGCAGCTTTGTGCTAATGAAATTGAATAGAGGCAGGGCAGTCACAATTAATATAGTTTTTGTGTCAGATGGAAAGAACTGTAAACAAATGTGTGACCACCATTAAATTTCACATTTAAGTACATTTAAACTCAATAATTTTTAATTTATCAATGTTATTTTGATAATGTCCCTTCAGTGGAATTTTATGCTTGTAATACTAGAGTCCCTTCTGCTTTGACAAAAAACTACAAAAATATTCTCAGATCTCCTACATCCTCCAATGCTTCAATTCTTATAGAGGGTTCTAAAAAGTCTAAATTATTCTCTGCTTTAAAGGTTACCTTTCGGTGCTCTAGTAAAAGGTAATTTATCAGTGATGTAATCATCAGGGCAGGTTAAATGATTTTTTCTGAGAAGTTCATTATCAACAATCCACCTGAAAGGGGATGCCACTGCAACAGTAAAACAGACAAAAAAAATAATCAAAGAAAATGCAAAAGCTTAGCCCCTTAAGATACACCATCTTGATCAATCCAAAGTAATGTTGTCTTTATAACTCATCACTGAGTTAGAAAGGTAATATCTTTGGATAGAGAAACAGTCTGGTATTTTAATCCCAAGACCTGGACATGCATCTCCACAGTTCTAAGTTCAGTTCAAACCCAGCTATGCAGCCATCAGAGAAGCATTTCATCTCTGGTCGTTGCTGCTCTATATCAAGGTACATATGCTTGTAACAAAGTTAGGTGGTAAGCCATTAATTGCAAATTTAATACCTTGAAAATGACCTAGTTGTTTAGTTTCTTACAGCATTAAACAGATGTTAGTCTACTTGAATCTCTGCACAAAATCCTTCAAAGTTGCTCCATTGATGAAAAGCCAACCCAAAAGCTCTACCAGTTATTTAGACAGGTACCGTAAGCATGTACTGGGGAGCAACAGTATTTCCAGAATCCTCACCTGGTGGCAATCCTATTTTGTAGAAATCTTCCCCCGCATCTGCCTTCAGCACATTTAGGACCCTTTCTTCTTCAGCTTTTGCTCGATCCTGGGCCTGAATGATGTTCTCTTCTACTATGTCAGCTTCTGTCAGTCGGCACTTATACTCAGCAAGAAGCTATCACAGGCATAGGTGAATGTAGAGAAACGAGTGTAATTTGAACTGTTAAGATGTCCTTACAGCTAAATGTTTTTGATTTGCCTTTGAGAGGTAAATAGAGATAGCTTGGTAAAACATCATTACTTTACAAGCATAAACTGGTCTGCTAAACACCCTCATTCCTATCATTTAACTTGTGCTGGGTAAGAAGCACTACCCAAGAAAAATGTGTGGAAGATGAGGACACCCTCCCAGGACAAGAGAAATGTCTGGGTTTTACCTTCTGTGGGACAGTATTTTGCCTATAAGCGTAGGAATGAATTTAAAGTGAATGTTCCCTCCTAGTTACTAGGAAGGTTTCTAAAACTCCAAAATATCCCAATAGTGATCCTTCACTCGTCCTGATATATTTTGGATTGCTCTGGCCAACGTGGTAAGTGCTTTACAAGCACAACTCAGAAAGAAAAATCCTGCCTCAAAGAAATGTCAATGTAAGTTAAAGAGAGAATATAGCAGAGGCACAGAGACATACAAGACCAACAGAAAGAGAAACTGATAGATGTTGATCTCAAGAGCATCTGTAGCCTAACCGAGCTTTCTGTAGAACTTTTATGTGACAAGGTTTAACCTTTAGGCTCATTTAATAGAATTAAATAATTCTATTTTATTTTTTTAAATTGAAAGGATAGGATGCATCTCAGCTAAAATGAAATGCTTCCTCCCCTCCTGCTAATTCTGGGATCCCTCCACTCTCACTGGAATCCAGGATACAATTCCACACCTAAAAGTGCCTGGAGATTTTTATTTTTTTTTTTTCTCTGATAATACAGAGAGCCTTGAATGACTCATTCAGCTGTAACACGAGTGTTATGGACATGTACTGTCAGTTGAAATTAATCTTATCCAAGCAGTCCATTTCGGGAGTGAGCATTCACGTTTATTACTCAGAACATACTGTGTCCACCAATATATTCATAAATGGCTCAAAAGAAAGACAAAACTTCAGATTTTTCAGCTCTGATAACCTTTGAGAGGGTATGATGACATAAAATGGGAAAAATACCTATTGCTCAAATTATCCAGCAATAGCTTCTTCTTTTATACATTGACGATAGCTATCAGAGCAATGATTAACACAAGTATTTTGCATATCTACTGTTGATTTCACCCAAGATTCCAAAGAGCATTGCAAATGCTAATGAATTACGTGTCATAGTGCACCACTAAGGTAAGTATATATAAGTATTCGATGCAGCGCATGACAATGCTTTATTGCAAGATAGGAAGTCTAGTACACTGACCAGCAGCCACAGGAAGAAATTGTCAGTCAGAAGAATAGGCATTTAAAGGTCTGCTGGTTTTACTGGGTTTACCCTGTGTCTGAAAAGCTGTCCAGAGCTGAGAATATCATGCAGGGGCATGAGGTGAATATTAACTCGTATGAAAGGTTCTGTAGGAAACTACGCTCAAGTAAATTTCCACCAAATTGTCAGTTCTAGGATCCTCCCCCTGCCTTTTTATTTTATTTTACAGAAGATCTAGAAATTACGAAGTAGCCATGAAAGCTGAACAGAGCTCCAAATTCTGACTTGGTTTTGACTTGTACCTTCTTTAGCTCCGCCGTAAAACTCTCATGATAAACATTGTCTCCTCCTCGGGACTTGATCCAGTTTGTCTCCATGTCCACCCCGATAACATCTCCAGTGTACAGGTCCTCAAAGGTGCTAGCCAGCAAGTGGGAGATGTCCTGAGGAAAGAAAACAAGGATGTTAGTGCTTAAAGCCTGAGATAGGATCCAAAGAGATCCCTTGGTGCGTGCAAATGGCTGGAATTAGCAAAAGGAGAAGGAAAAGTGGGGAAAAGGGCTGGGAAGGGCACGAGGGAAGGATGCTAAAAGGGGACACACTGCGTGTGCACACGTGAAGGCGTGTATGTAAGTACATGCGTGTGTACACGAGGTCGTGCGTGCACACAGATGGTGTTTTTGTGCTGGCTGTGTGTGTAGGTGACGGTGACGGACACGGCTGTCTGTGTGTACACAGCGTGTGCGTGTGTCGGGGTTCACGCACGAGTGTGTCTGTCTGGAGCTATGGGAGGAGGGGAGGGGGGTGTGTGAGGGAGAGCCAAGCACTGTACCGGCGGGGTGTGTGTGTGTGTGTGTGCGTGCCAGGCTTTGTGCAGGGAGTGTGTGTGTGTGCCCCGGAGTGCATGCCGGGGGGGTGTGTGTGTGTGCAGAGGTGTGCATGCGTGTGAAGCTGTTTGGGGGGGTCGGTGTGTGCCCGAGCGGCCCAGCCCCGCTCCGTTACCTGCATGCCGGGGAAGCGGCTCCCCTGAGCCACGGGCAAGCCCGGCGCTGGGGTCT